TCATCGTTAAGATAGGAGATATAAATGAGACAGAATGGCGGGTTGCATAAGGGGCGGGGAAGACCCGAAATCTCCTCAGATTTCGAATCATTTCTCTCTTTTCAACTATCTGCGCGGCGGTTCGGTATAGACCCGGGGCGGAGATCAAAAATCTTTCAGAATCTATTAGATTGATTATTTCCGTATACGACGATCTTATTCAATCTACGTGATTTATCTCTCGATTGATCGGAAGAACGAATAGGCCCGGGACGGCGAAGCTAAATCTTTCAGAATTTATAGATTGATCATATCTATTCATGGAGATTTATGCATTCTGCCGAGCTGCCGCGCAGATAACGCTAGAGAGATAAATGAGGCGGAAAGATGGGACTAATTGGGAGTCGCGCGATCAAAGGGCCGCGCGACCAAAATTCTCCCAAGATCTCGAGATATTTCTCTTTATTTGACTATCTGCGAGATCTAAATTTTTTTCAGAATCTATATAGAATATACGATCATATATTATTTAATCATCGGATTTCTCATTAGAGGAATTCTCAAATAAATATCTTCGATTGATATAGGCAATAGACTAATTCTATTGATAATATAGATTCCGTATATTGCTACCTTCGTCATTATCATGAGCTATTGCTTCCGAATTCGCGCGCCCGCCGCCGTCTGCCGCTACCTCTTTTCGTCATTCCCTGCCAACCTGCTGCGACGACAATTAATATCATTCGATTGCGGATCCTAGTAGAATCATCCCAGAAATAATAATCAAGAATTATATGATTATGACGGCAAAAATAAAGGACGAAATATTCAATTATATTATTAATCGTCGTCTTGCGCAATAATGATTAATATAGAATCAATTTAGTATGAACGCGCAATATCAATAGATTGAATCAAGATATCTATTTTTAGCTAGGATCCAAATTTCTCGGGCAAGGCAATAAATTATTGATCAATATATCTATATAGGCGAATTCAATACTGCTTATGAAATAGATCTATCATATTTAAAATAATAATCATATTTTCTCCTATCTTCAAATACATATTATTATTCTATATCTTCAAATATATATTCTTATTCTGAAAAATCTATATCTATCGATCGTCAACGAATAATTATATAAGCCTTCCGTAATAGATAAAGGACGCAAATGCTAGTTATAGATTCGTCCAATTCCAAATTGAATATTAAAATTAGAATCATTATTCTGAGCGATAAAAATAGAATATCTTTAAAAATTTCAAAATTTCGTCCGAAATCAAATCTTGAAATCTTCAGAATTTCAAAAAATTCTTATATCATTTTCGCGTTGGACGAAATCCTCAAAATCACGAGAATTTATAAAATTTCGTCTAGGATCAAAAGATATAATAAGAAAAAACAGACCCAGAGATATCTTTGAATCGAAATTTTCGAGATATGAATAATCATCCCAATTTTTCCTAAATCAAAATTATTTCATCTATATCTAAATTTCGTCCTATATTTCCAAATTATCAAGAAATATTGAAATAGATCTTCTCTCATAAATCCAAATTTCCTATTCTATATCTCTTTAAATTTCTCTGAAAGACTAGAAATATGAGATATCTCTGATTACTAAATATATATCATTTGACCCGCTGTCTAAAGCAACGGGAAATATTTATTTGAGAAAATCTACAATAGTCAAAGAAAGAGAATCAGCTCGAAATCTTAGAAGATATTTGATCACGGCGTTCTTTAATCGTGCGGCTCCCGGATCTAGCCCGACCTTTCCGCCTCATTTATCTCTCTTGGTCTATCTACGCGGCGGCTCGGCAGAACGTATAAATCTCCGTAAATAGATACGGCCATTTTATAAAGTCTGAAAGATTTTATTACTCCGTCTTGGGTCGGCGCGTATCTCCGACCAGCCGAGTCGATAATTAAAGATAGATAAATCACGCGGAATAAAAAAGATCACGCGTGATTCCCGACGAGTATATAATCAAAAAAATGAGACCGCAAATAATCCCAAAACGACCAACCTAATAGATTCTACACTGCGCCCCGGGTCTATATCGAGCCGCCGCGCAAATCGAAAAACGAGAAATAATTCGAAATCTTGGGAGCTTTCGGGTCGCGCGATCCCTACGTCCAGCTCGGCTTTTTCGCCTCATCTATCTCTCTTAGACTATATATGCGGGCTCGGGGGAGCGCCTAAATTCTCATAGATCGATGCGGCCAATTTATTCTTCGTCTCGGATATATATATTCCGTCGAATAAATACGCAAGCTATCAATAAGAGATAAATCACGCAAAAAAATGCTCCGGAAGCAGAGACGAATAAAAATTTTTGAAATTTATATTCCGAAGATTTTTTTGATCTCCTAAGAAGCCCGTAGAAGACTTTTTAAAAGAGAATCAGAAAATCTAAACCGCGCGTAAACGAAATAACCGCAAAAAAGCAACCCATAATATCAAAATATAATTGAAATCAATCTTTATATCTAATAATAAGATAGAATTATCATCATTATCATTAGCAATAAGAATTTTAAGATTTTCTTAATTTCCAATCATGAAATCGTCTTCATAATAAAATGAAGAGAAAATATTTTGATTTCATCATGATATTGAAGAAAATCTAGAAATTGAATAGATATTTTTCTTAGAAAAAGAAATAATTCTCGAGGAAAATAGAATCAAGATCAATTACGATAATCAGCTTAATCATATTATAATAGTACTAGAATGGACCCGTTGTTTCCAGCAGCGGACAGTGTTCTGCCGTTGCCGCTACCGCGGCCGCAGCCGGAGCGGCGAGCCGTAGCCGGAGCCGCAGCTGCAACTCAGCCGCAGCCGCAGCCGCAGCCGCAGCCGCAGCCGCAGCCGGAGCCGGAGCCGGAGCCGGAGCCGCAGCCGCAGCCGCAGCCGCAGCCGCAGCCGCTGCTGCTGCTGCTCCTGCTCCCATGCTGCTGCTGCTGCTGCCGCTCCCATGTTGCTGCAGCTGCTGCTGCTGCTGCTGCGGCTGCGCTGCTGCTGCTCTGCTGCTGCTCTGCTGCTGCTCTGCTGCTGCTATGCTGCTGCTATGCTGCTGCTATGTCGCTGCTGCTGCCGCTGCCGCTGCTGAGGCCCAGCTCATCTGATTGGGATTCTGCACCCTGCTGCGGGGTCTCGGGGCGCGACCAAAAATCTGGGAGATTCTTGGTCGCGCCCTCCCGACCAAAAATCTTGAAGATTTTAGGGTCGCTAGCTTTTGCCAGAGACCCTAAAATTCCCGAGATTTTAGGGTCGCTAGAAGGCCCGCAGGAGGCGAGGCGGAAAAGCTAGGCCGCGCGCGCGACAGACGGCCGCAAGTGGTCGCGCCGTAATATTGAGATATACGCCTTCTATAATAAGTACGATAGGTCATTTCGAATCTAAAAAAGACATAGATTTTTTCTACGAGATGAACGTCCATAGATTTATCAATGAGCAGATATTGGTAGCAACCGATCATCGTAATCTCCATGGTTTGACTACAATCCTATATGCCCTCATCTTGATATCTGGCAATTGTGCCCATAGTCCTCATGCAAATTCATCTCGGGAGTCATTGAGTCTAAAACCCTAAATCCTAAATCAATTCAAAATCCTATATTGTATTCAGATTCTTATCCGCGGGATCCTCCTTCGTATTAGATTTTTCTAATTCATGGCGGAAGCGACCTTTAGACAATCATCAGAATTAGATGCGGATTTTCTTGTGGGCTGCAAGGGGAAGCAAGCAGGAGGACACCGTTCAGGGGCCGCAGATATTCTGACGTCCCGCCCCACGATTTGTTTCAATCCCTATACCTCCTTGCGAATCCTGATGAACCTTCCCCCCCCTGCCTACTACATGGAAAGCAACTACCTAGCTCTCACTTGAGCATGCATCAATCCTAAATCATAAGCCCTATATAACCCCATGATAATTTCCATTTTCCTTTCCATTATCCCTATATAACCCCAATGTATACTTATAATCCCTATATGAGCTATTGCAGTCATTTCTATTTTCACATTTGAGGAACCTTAAGCGGTAAGGTTCGAAGTACCACGAATGATTAATGATCCCACTGTAGCTGCGGGTATAACCCAAATACTAACCTCCTACATCCCCTTAATGGAGAAGAAAATGGAAGCTACTATATTATAATAGGGTTATATTAGGGTATTTCTGGGGGTCTATTGGGATAATGGCAAAGATAATGGAAACTACAATAACAGGGTATATATTAGGGTTATGATAGTATAGGGTATATTTTGGGGTCATATTAGGATGATGGAAAAGAAAATAGAAACTACCATAATGGGTAGGGTTTAAGGTCTGTAGGTTGGCCAGAATGCTCCAGCGAACCGGAACCTACAGGTAGCACCAACACGCGTTTGGTCATCTTGAATCTGTAACATGATGCGTGCCTAGACGGGTATAGGGTTTAGGGTTTTATCTGTGACATGATTTGGGCCTAGACTCCTACTTACGACCTCACAGCCGGATGAGCCGTATCATTTTTCGCGCCACGCTCCAGTATTTGACAGTCTTTATCTGAACGCACGCTGATTCCAGAACCGGTCTATCCGGACTCGCTTAGCAGCAAGGAAGCCACCGATCAATGTGAGAAGGATAGTACAAAGGTTCTGGATAATATGCTAGATTCCTCAGTCCTGATCTCAAGCTACACGCCGGGATCAGCGTGCGCAAAAGGTGCCTCGCCTGCCTACGCGGGCAAAAAAAAATAATAGAGTCACCCCTCCATGTGGCGCGGAAAAATCTCTGGTCTAGTCTCAAGACAGGAGTCCCTAGGTGCTTCATCAAAATCACTCACCGGTGTATGGGCTTCATATATTGTGGCTGCAGCTATGTTTGGAGTAGTTCGGTGAACTTGGCTTAATAGAAACGCCCATGTAACCTAAGCCCAAGAAACCCTTTGTAGAATGGGACTCCTCAACATGAGACGTTCCCTCTGTGAGCAGTGTTCAACAGACCTTCGGCAGGCTGACAGCGGCTCACACGATGAACGAGCTTGGACCGTCATGAGGCTGAGCAGGCACGTACCTTGCTTGAGCGGAAGGGTAAGGCTTAGGGTTTGGGGTTTAGGGCATAAGTATTAACGCTAACAGTTTGATAACAGTTTTGGTGGTAGTAAGAGTTCTAAGTACTACTATAGTGGGCCTGGCTCTCAGTCCCAAAGTTTATCCCCTCGAGTTGTTGGAGAGGAGGGGTCGCGGGACAGCTTACCTGCGGTAGTGCTGTTTCCTGGCGGTCTTGTTGTCTAAGGTAGCATTCCGTTGAGAAGAAGGGTGCTGGGAACTCAGGAGTGAATCTCCTATAGGAGTCGAGATAATTCCAAATATATATATCATTTTCATGTCTGTTTAGTCTATTTGAGGTAACCTACACCATTATTGCAAAAAAAAGAATCTAAGGCCGTAACATTGGTAATTCTTCATGCCCGTATACAGCAGCAACTTCACACTTCACGGCGGCCGTATATTGGACTTGTTTTGAGCTGTAGCCAAGATTTCAGTAAACACCGGGCGAAGATTCACAGCAAAATGTGACCGTACGTCCAGGTCCAAGCTAGGCACGCGATGGCGCTCGCCGCTCTTGCTGTGCTTCCACTTGAATTCCAAACCAGCGTGGCCGTGCAATTTGGCCCCTCGCACCTTAGCAGCTCTTCCAATCCCCCATACAACTTGATCATAGTTCGGATTTCAAAGTACGCATGTCTAAGACTTGAAAAATCCTTTTGGGTGGTGTGGTGATTCAAAATCTGGTCACTTCCAGTCAATACTGAACCTCTTTTGTCACATGTCCCACGCACAAGGTAAAAAACCATCCCAAGAACCAAGGCACGCAGGGTCGAAGGATACGACGTTGCCATCGCCACCACTGGCAGCCAAAATGCGCCCACCTCCTTCGCAAAGGAAGCCCATGTCCCCGCGGCTGCTCCAATCTCTTTGAGATGTTCCGTTTGGTAGGAAGGATACAATGCCTTCATCCAGGGTGACCAATACACGCCTCCCACCATTGACTGCCGCAATGCCAAGAGGCCACTTCACTCCCGTCGCAAACGTCTTGACATCACCTGGGGACGTAAGAGCTGGGCTACAGCTAGGAAAACCGAGTACGGGCTGTAACATAAGTGGATTTGAGGGCCCCAAGGGGCATCCCTTGCCAGAACTAGACCAGGGCCATTTGGAAAACCGTTTTGACAAGCTCCCGCATGGCGCTCTCACACATCCTGCTGGGATCGCCTGCACCCTAGAGTTGCTGTTATCCTTGGTGCTCCAGTAACCATACTTCAAACTCCTTTTTCTTGTTTGGTTAACTGTATAAAGGAACCCAGAACCCAAAAAAGGTAACAGGGTACCACCTGGCCTCCTAGTATCGGTAACAAGAACATTGTCATCCACACAGGTGATGCCAGCAGCAAATGCGGACAACTGCTGTGAGCCCTTGCCGGGTTCGTTTCCACCATCCACTAAGGAGCACCCGGAGGTGCAGTCCTTGAGGATTCGGAGTATTCGTGATACATGCCCTACATATGGTATGCCCCCAATATACCTACGTAGCCGCGTATGAAACCCCAATATACCCCGACATACTATACCCCTTATTATAGGAACACCCCAAAAAAGTACCCCCTAATTTTGCAAATCCCTCAACCCTGTATAACCCCTACATAACCCCTATAAACCCTTTCAAAGGGTACCCGCACATTCCTGCAGCTACAGGGGTCCCCCCTAAACCCGAAACCCTAGATCCTAAACCCTAAACCACTATAGTAGTTTCCATTTCCTGTTCCATTATCCCCATATGAGCTACTGTCTGAACTCCTAGTATCCCCCAAAAAAACCCCTATAGTAGTCCCCTATATATTCCCCTTGATGGAGTTTGGACTACAGCTCATATTACCCCAGTATACCCCCAATATTACCCTAAACCCTAAACCCTAAACCCTAGAGTCCTGCCCGGGCGAGCAGCCTGTGCACCGGAGAACTCCAGTAGCTCCCTTCTGGCCTCCGAAGACCTAAGCTCCCCCGTAACTCCTTAATGGGTTTAGGGTTTAGAGGTTTTACGGAGTTTAGTTTAGGTTCCCCCGAAATCCCTTAAAAGGGGTTTAGGGTAAGTTTCCTTCGTAATGGGTAGGTTCCCCAAGAACCCCTTAATGCGGGGATTAGGGCGCAGGGTAGGTTCCCAAGTAACCCCTTAACACAGGGTTTGGGGTTTAGGGTAGGTTCTCCAGTAATCCCTAAATAAGAGGTTTAGAGTCTAGGGCAGGTTCCACCATAACCCCTTCATCATCATGGGTTTAGGGTTTAGGGTAGATTCCCCAGTGACCCCTCAATAAGGGCCTTAGGGTTTAGAGTAGGTTCCCCAGAAATCCCTTAATAATAAGGGGTTGAGGGTTTAGGGTAGGTCCCCAGTAACCCCGTAATAAGGGTACACTTTTTCCTACTGTTCAATCTTGGTGAGGAAACGCCAAAATACAAATGAAAAAGCGTACTACGGGGGTACCTAGAGACAATGAAGAGAGAGTCCTGGCACAAAGATACGCCTCCCAAGTCGTAGGACCCATGCTCACCACCAAGCACGTGGTCCACATCGACCAGTGCTGTCACTGGGCAGCTGCTGTTCTGGCACCAGGGATCCAACTGCACCAGCTGATGGCTCTTCAAGGCGGCTAGAAGGTGTCCTTTCCATGGAAGTAGGCCACCATAGGTCTCCATGCCCGTTGCGACGGTGTGAGGCCCGGTGCAGCCCTGTTTGTTGCAGTCCAGACGCACCAGCTCTTTGGTACCCAGGCTTGTGAAGAAGATGGCCCCTTGGAGTGGATCTTGGGGTGGTTCCACACTTGCCACGAAGGCCGGACTGCTGGTAACAGCTACAAGGGCCACCAGAAGCTTCATGGCGATTTGGACTTGCGGCCGGGTGCTTGCCTCCCCGCCCTCTGCTACGTGCTCACCTGAGCAAGATCCAAATCGGTACGAATAGGCAATCAGCCAAGTCAGATCTCATAAGGCTCGTGACAAAGGTATGTTGCACAACGCACGAAGAATAATCCTTCATGGTACTTTGCACAATCAGGACTTCCTTTGCTTTAGATCTTCGGGACTCGAGGCCTCATGTGCAACCAACACTTGCAGAAGTCTTGCCACTGTAGTTTGCCGCTACGAGCTTAATCTGTAGGGAACGAGGGTACCCTCTTCAAAGCTAACATGTGCCACTGTCTAAACTCCTAGTNNTAGTAGTTCCCTATATTATCCCCTACATAACCCCATTTAAGGAGTTTAGACCATAGCTCACATGGAGCCTCAAAAGGGCCCAACAAAGGCTACAGCCCTTTAAAAGGAGACACTAGGCTCGATATCAGCCTTGGACAACGGGTACTGCCTGTTTCAAAGGGATCATAGGCTTCATGTCAGCCTTGGGAAGGTCACAGAACCTGATCCCTACACATCCCGATGTATATATCTATATATATCTCTCTCTCCCTACTATAACAACCAGTAAGTTACCCTGATTGTAATTGCTATTGCTATAGGCAATTGCTATTACTCCTGCTATCCTACTCCTACTCCTACTCCTACTTCCGCTCCTCTTCCTGGCGCCACCGCTGTTGCTGTACCATTGCAAGTACTGCTACTACTATTACTACTACAACTACGATTACTGTTACCATTACTATTACTATTGCTGTTGCTGTTACTACTCCTTGCTGCCGTTCACATGATGCCTTCTACGACATTGGGAACTCACATGGCTCGAACGCCGGACGCCTAGATGATAGTGGTCATGATATCGGGATGTACTGTAAGTTCTGTCAACAATCCTCACCTAGAGGGCATGTTCCCAAACAGGTAGAACATCCAGGGTCCAGGAACCCTGATCCCTAAACCGTTAAAGCTCGCACACATTGAAATCTTCTCGTTACTCAGACCACTGCAGGAAAATTTCTCACACCAACCCTACAGTGCCATAAGGCGGACCCTCATAATCCCCCTGTATTTTTTCATGACCCAGGGGGTTCTTTTCGCTCCCCCCCCAAGTTTTTGAGAACAATCCACAGAAGGTGGTTGCATGCCGGCTTCTTTAGCATGACATGACTATCACAGTCATGTGGGGCTTCTGAAAACCTTTAAAAATTAGAGATTCCAAAGGGACATTGAGGGTCACCTGTCAGGATTATGAAAGGCGCACTTCCCATTTGCAAATGGCCGCAACCACAAAGGAGAACAGTTTGATTTCAAAGTGCGTCTCTACTTGGAAGGTTACGGGGACGTAGTAAGTATAGGTTAATAACCCCTATGAACCACATACTAGCCCCAGTTATCCCCACTCTTCACCTACTAAGTCCCCCTGACCCTCCAAGTAAGGTCAAAGTAATCCCAAGCCAAGGTTCGAGGGTCTGATCTCGAAACCAGGGTCATTTAGAATAAGAATTCAATTCCCAATTTAAGGCTATTTTAGGGTGATCTTGAACCCTTGAATCCTGCACCCCCAAGCGCCATTCCCCAAAATCAAAGAAGCCTTAAACAGGATGCTCCCAAGCCGAACAACACAGCGCGTGGGTTGTTCTCAAAATTGTGGGCCACTGCTGGTTATAGATTATATTGCGGCGCCTGCTATTTAGGGGTACCAAAGAGGGTACCTGTTTTGGGAACTGCCCACGGAGAAACTTGAGGGGTTCCTCGAGATAGGGGGCTCTGACGGATTTTTCAGTTTTCTTTATCATTCGCAGGGATCATATGGGGATCCCAAGCCGACTATCCTATTTGGGACAGCATAGGCATTCTGTCAAAGAATACAGGGGCCCAAACAGGTACCAATAACATTTTGAAGTACCCTGTACACGAATTCTATAAGGACCTTGGATGGGTAATTCTCCCCTCAGGACGGTTTAGGGTTTAACCCTACATAACCCGCGCTCCGTTTCAGTTTCCATTCTCCTGTCAATTTGACTCTCCGTTGTTCCTTAACCCTAAGCACACCCCATAATCCCCCGAAAAAGACCATGATGTTGGAAATCATTTCAGCTATAGTCTCAACTCCTCGTGTCCCCCTTAATATCCCCATTATCGTCTCCTATATAATCACTTACATAACCCCCTTTACGGAGTTTAGATTCTGGCTCATTTGGGCCTCTACATTGCCCAACTCAAAGGCGCGAAGGTCCTTTCTAGGGACTTTAGGAGGGACCCCTAATAGGAACCCTTAATCCCATTACCATATATAACCCTTATATAGTCATATCCCTAGGTAGTCCCCATATTAACCCCCAGAAGTTACAAGGGTCCCTATTAGGGGTCCCTCCTAAAGTCCTTAGAGTCTCGGGCTATGGGTACGTCTTACGGATTGCGGGTCTCGGGCTTAAGGTTT